GGCGTGCCTCACCAATCGGGCACGCGCGCGGAGCGGCCGCACGATCTTTGGCATATCGATCTGTGTGGGCCGATGACGACCTCGCTGGGGGGGTCGTTTGTCATGATCATGTTCGTGGACATTTCTCGCGGTGGATGAAGCTGTACGGGATCAGGCGCAAGTCGGACACCCTCGCCTTCCTCAAGAAGTTCCTCGCCGACATGAGTGGCACCGGTGTCCCTCGTTCTTTCCGGATGGACAACGGGGGGGGAGTTCGTCAGCCGCGACTTCATCGCCTTCTGCGACAACGCCGGCATCCGCCGTACGTACATGGCGATGCCGGGCACCCCGCAGCAGAATGGTCCGGCGGAGAGTGCGATCTGGCGCGTGAACAAGGCCCTCTTCACCCGCGTCCCCGGCTTCGGACGCGATGGCGAGCGACTTTGGCTAGAGTCGTGTCACTGGGCTGCTGGTGGCTTCAACCGTTCTCCGACCAAGGCAAACGTCGGGTACAAGTCGCCGCACGAGCTCTTCACCGGCCGCCCGCCCCCGCTGCAGATCGTCCCGTTCTTACAGCCGGGGTACATGCGTGTGATGCGCGCGCGGAAGATGGATCCCCAGGTAATGCTGTGCTGCTACCTCAACAACGGCGACAACCATCACGAGTCGGTGGTCAAGGTCCTCAAGTTTGCGACGGGGCGCGTGTGCATGACGAACAACGTCGTGTGGGTCTCCGACCGCGCGCCGTTGCTGACCCCGCCGCTGGAGAATGTCGCCGCCGCACCGTTTCTAATTGAGTACATTTCACCGCCTCTTATGCCCCCCTCACCGTTCGCCCGATATCCCACTGCACCCGCTGCCATATCCTCACAGGCGCCGCCGGCCACTTCCACACCACCATCGCCGGCGGCGCCGTCTACTGCAGCCACACCATCGCCAACGGTCACCGCGCCGCCTGCAACGCCACCTGCAACGCCACATTTCACCACCACCGCGCCGCCTGCAACGTCGTTCGCCGTCGTGCGACCGCCTCCCGCCGTCGCGCCGCCTGGTGCCGCGCCATCGACCAACATGCTGCCGCTCACTACAAGGACCATCTGTGAACTGGACGTGGGGCGCGGGGACATGAGGGTCTCTGGGCGCACGAGGGCAGTCGCTATGGACCAAGGGGGGGGGCGGGCGTCGTCAATGCCGCCCCTCTCTGCCAGGGCCAATCGAGAGCTGGACTTGGGACGAGAGACGCGGGTGCCAGGGAGGTTGAGGGGTCGGCGGGTGCGTTTCCAGGATGGGGGGGCCGAGCGGTCGACGTCACCTGGCGGGAGCGGCGACGCTCTCGCCCACCGCTTCGGTCTTGTTTCCCTGCAGGACAAGGCAACGCTCCTGTCGACTCTAACCACTCGCAGCATCGTCGATGGGGGGAGGAAGGAGATCCCGAGTTCAGCCGGAGGACGTGATGGAGCGGAGCCGGGGGGGCGAGAGCGGGAGGGCACGAAAACAGAAGGACTGCGTGAAGAAGTCCCATTTGCGTGCGCCACCTTGCTTGCCTCCCGCGAGGACATTGATCGCGCGATGAGGGATTTAGATCCCCCGGAAGTGGCACCGGACTTGCCACAGTGCTA